AAAAAAGGTAAAATATTCCTGATGGAAAAATTTCGCTGAAATTATTCAATGTTTTGGAATACTTTTCAACAAAATTTCAGTATTTCAGAAAAATTTCAGTTTCGTTTCAATGATTTTTAGCTGAAAAATCAATTTTCAGCAAAATTTCAGCAAAAATTTCAAAGACATTTCAGCAAAAATTTTAAAGGAATTTCAATTCAATTTCAGCGATTTTTCGTACGTTAGCTGAAAAATTCATTTTCAGCAAATTTTCAGTAATTTCGCTAAAATATTCCAAAACATGGAATAATTTCAGTGAAACTTTTTCTTCAGGGATTTGAACTAATATTTATTAGTATCAAAACATGAAATATAATAATTTCAGTGAAACTTTTTCTCCAGGGATCTGAGCTAATATTTATTGTGTGTGGCTATAATAACTTAACACACTTTCTTATAATTATCCTAATTCCTAGTTAAATAAAATACGTGTCAGTAGTAACGTCACAAAATTAGTCCGAATTACCTCAAGAGGCTCCTGTTTCGATGTATCATTCGTCATGACAGTACTCAGTGATGAGATGCTGGTACGAGAATTACTGCGGCTAACGGTGGTCGAGGCAGGTCGAGAGGATGTTTCATCCGTTTTCGCTTGATTTTCCAATAACCGACCGAAGTCCACACCCATGGATCCCAGCTCGTCATAAGTACTGATGAACAGAAAATATGAAGCAATAGAAGTGACGACGTTCTAAATATTTGCTTAAACTTGTAAATGTTCTAAAAATTTCCAAATATTCTAAAAATTTTGAAACTTATTTTATACGACTCGAACATTCGAATATTTCGTCTCAATATTGATATTTAATTTTTTTCTATAAAAAAAGCAATAATTCTTGATGTATTAAAAGAACTTAAAATAAAATCATTTTGCCGTATCATTAGGTAGATAAGTTAAAGTTGTCACGTAAAGATCATTGTTTGTATATATTGTGGTATACTAATAAAAAAAAAACTCCTAACAAAGATAATTTTATTTTCTTTCAATCTTACAAATTATACTCATCTCTAAGTCCTTTTCTTGAATTCAAGGATCCAAAGATCCAATCGTGAAATTAACAATAACATTTTACAAAACAATAAAATAAATACATGAATAAACAAGTCTTAACAAAAAAATTGTAACTAGATTACAATAAGATACTAATTAAAAGGTAGAAAGAAAGTGCAGTAAAATCATTCATACCCTTCAGCCTGGATGGCTCCGTCCTTTAGAACGATAATTCTACCGACGTCGCGAAGATATTGCAATTGGTGAGTGACGAGAATCCGAGTCTTGCTTCGTAAATATTTGTCGATGCATTCTTCAAACATGTGTTTGCCCACTTGAGCGTCCACGGCGCT